CCTCCTGATGGGTCACCGTAATGAGGCTCGCTTACAGTGCCCAGCACACGCTTACAGTGCCCAGCACACGCTTACAGTGCCCAGCACACGCTTTTGTCCAACTCAACCCGTCTGGCTTAAGAGCCTCACGCGTTCCCCTCCAGCCTCAGCTCATGCAAATTCAGGTTTTGCTCAAGGGTACAACAGTAATCCCTCCCTGGAGACCGGGGGCCGCCACGTTTTTGGTCACTGGCTTTGCTCCTACCTGCTTCCTTGTACATCCCAGTGGCAAAGAGGGTGGGGGAGGTTACTAAGTAAGTGTCATCTAAAATAGCCAGCCAATAAGCAAATGGAGCAATTAACCCCTTGCTGACACATGGAGCCTTCAGACAAGAGTGAGATGTTCAGGGGCGGAGTCAGAGCAGGCTGCTCCTCATTTGTCCTTCATCATTGGCCACAGCAGTGGCCATAATTCTTCTAAGAGCCACCCCTTGGAATTTTTTTTTTTTCTTTTTCAGTTTTTAATACAACACATGCTTTTATCTAAAGCAGCATACATTTTTGAGAAAGCAGGGTCACACAGTCTGTGGGGCAACTGGGGGTTAAGGACTATGCTCAAGGTCCCAACGATGAAATCACTCTGCAGACCCTGGGATTTGAATCGACAGGCACAGAGCTCTAACCAGCTGGGGAGCCACACACGACATCAGGAAGCATAACATGGATCTTATGTCACGCTGGGTGACACACAGGTCGGACCAGCGCCAGGATTAGCAAAGGTACACTGGCATTTAGGCTTGGGTCCAGCCTGGGGTGCCCTCCCGCTCGTTACCGTGACAGGGTGCGCAAATCCACACCCACAAAAGCTTAGCTATAAAAGAAACAAACACACCCAATGGAGACGAGAATCCCCAAGAGATTCAAATGAACGTCTTTGGCTTTTCAACTACACACGCCATGATGGAGTCAAACAGGTGTAGCTGACATCTGTAGCAAGAATCACTATCACTCATAACAAAAAAAAAAACCGTCTTTCTTGACACTGAGTCAACTCAGCGCTCATTCTCTGTTTGTTCAGAAGGTCGACGGGATGCATTCGCGGCAAGAATGCCGTGGGTGGAGAGGAGGAGAAGATTAAAGGATAAAATGAAGGGCCTGAGCAGGGATGAAAGGGGGCACGCAGACTCAAGGTGCTCCTGGGCTTGGCTTTTAGAGGGGGGAGATCTCCGGCTGCGATCTAAAGCAAGGGAGCTGGGGGGGTGGGGTGGGCTAAGCTCAGGGAAGTTCACTGCTCCCACCTGGGTGCCATACCCACCAGTCTCCATTCCACTTCACAGGGGCTGAGAACATGTAACCACGGAGACAAAAGGCTGGGGGAGGAAGGCAAGTGGGGCGGAAAAACCTAAGTGGGGGCTGATGGATCATTCCAGCTCCCATTCGTTTGAAAACAAGCACGATGCCCCCTCAGCTCTCTGTCCTGCTGTATCTTATCGCAGCGTGGCCCAGTGGCACAATACCCAGAATGCAATGGGCCCCCTCTTCAGGCTTACATTGTTTTTCCAAAGGGTACACATGTGCAGGTCCTGGGGGAGGGGCCCAAAGTCACACAAACATTAACCATTCCTGTAGTATACAGCCAATTCCTTTGTAATTAATGCCTAAAGGTTTTTTCTTACCGTTTGCACATATCAGGAATCAGCGCTTTGCAGGGAGGAGACGGTATTCATAAATTGGCACTTGTAGAAAAAAAAGGGAGGGGGGGGGGGGGGGGGGATGTCACATGTACCAGAAATTACACTGACAAACAAAGTGTTTTGCCCCCCTCAGAAACTGTCTACTGGCTACACATCACTGTTGCCAGGGTGCCAGTTATAAGACTGACCCCCACCGCCCCAACCACCTAAGGAGAAATACTTTTCTCCATTAGCAAAGCATTCTGGGAATTTTCATAAAGGCAGCCGCCCACCCCACCCTGTACTGCACTGCTGAAACTTCTCTGCTACAGAAATGCCACTGGGGGCACGTCAGTGTCTAATGCGCTATCAGACTTCAAAACCGAACGTTTTAATAAAGCATGGGAATTCCAGACAAAAATAAACTGATAATAATAAACTGGAGGTTAAAAAGAAATTATGTCGAAAATTAAAACCGGGCATAAAAATTTCCGACTAATATAGAAAGTGTTCACTCCCTATGAGAAACACCATCCACAACTCACAAGAAACTGTCTGGCTGGGATCCAGCAACTTACATTTGTGTTTGAAGATCTTAAATGTGTTGAGCTAAGATGCATACAGGCTGCTTATCAAAGCGCTCAGAGGTATCTGAGAAATGGGGGAGTGCTTAATTTAATTCATCCACGGCTAGAGTGTCTCCTGTACGTTTTAATCTGCAGCGTGGCTGCGATTTAACATGATCCAGGAGACCGTGTGCAAATTTGGGAGAGTAACAGGCCTGGGGAGGGAGAACTGGCTTTGACTGGGCTCTGAGGTGAAAGGGCAGACTGGTCATTTTTCACACCCTAACCCCAAAAGAAAGACTCCTGAATAAACTTTTATTATATGCTGAGTCAATTAATCCAATGCAAATTAAATACTAGGTACATTAATTATATACATCTGTGTGCTGGCAACATTGTCAAAACAAAGATTGATAATGTCAACATTTATATATATATATATATATATATATATAAAATAAAAAAAAGTATTTTTTTCCCCCTTTTATTTGCAAAACCAAACCTCTACTTTCAGAAATGTCAGAATCACACACGAGGTCGACCTGACCTGATCCCTTTTGTAATTTTTAACAACACAGCCCTGGCCTAACCTGTTTCAGGTGAATGATAACTCTTCATGCCTGAATCGCATTTCTTGAGAGCCAAACAGACCCCAGTCGGCCGTCAGGCCTGGTACATTGGCCCCTGACGCCCCTGAAGAGGCTTGGGGGGAGGGGAGACCATAGGGCGGTCAGCCCTGTCAGTGACTGGCCAGCTGAATTATGTTCCAATTACAGACCCCCCCAAAAAAAACAATAATTAAACACACAGAATGAGCCAACCAAGACCTTGACGATACGACGTCTCCTTGCCTCCGTCTTGTACCATCTGTCAGACAGCTACAGAATTCACTGATGGCCGGCCACAGCAGCCAGCCAGCATTGCACGCTACACCAAACACTACACCCGGCTGTGAGAGAGAGCGTGGAACGATGCTGGGCCCTTACCGTTCCAGCAATTCCCTCTGAACAAGAGAGGAAGAGTGTGCAGAGCTCCTGGTGAGGAAGTAACAAGGAGGCGGAGGAGAGAGTACTGTGGGGAGGTGTTTGGGATAGACTGCTGGGGCCACAGCTCATTTAACAGCTGGAATGTACACAGTGGCGCTCCCTAAGGACGCATTTTACCTGTGACTTCTTGGATTAATTCTTGTCAGCCTATATACCCCCCCCCCCCCATCAGATGTGGGCTGAATAAGGGGTGATGCCGGTCAGATGACTCAAGGCCCAAGGCTGTACCTCGGAGGACAGACGCTGCATGCTTTCCTAATGACCCTTCGAACGGCGGGGGCGACAGACCCAGGTCGGCCGCGGAGTCTCTCTGGGCGTCGCTACGCTCCTGGGCGCTCAGATAAAATAAATAGGATATAAGGGAGGGGCAGAAGGTACAGCGGCTTCAGCTACCCTAGCAGGAATGAGGAAAGGGGGCATTGGCAAAAAAAGTCAAAGCAGTGGCCATTCGGTGACAAACACACCAGCCCGATCGGTCACCGTAGTGATGGCCGACATCACTAACGGCGACAGCAGTAAGGATGACAGCAAACACGACCGACCCCAGTTACTCCCTCCCATTTCTCCGCCCCCATCTATTTGCGGATGAGGATGGGCTGATGGGCCTCCCGGGTCGATACCCGAATGCCAAGTCAGGATACATCTCCTCAAAGTAGTCGATGTGGGGGGGCTGCAGGATATCCAGCGCCGAGAGGACCTGCAGAGAAGAGACAAGGCCAGGGCCATCAGCGACGGGCGGGCGGACGGTGGTGGTTGTCACATAGCATCTCGTCACGCTGGGCCGGACTGGCAGTCAGAGATGCCAACTCATAGGTCATATGACAGCAGGAGACATAGGAAGATGGAGGCCACTTCGCTACAATACAACTGGATACGACTTGCAGAAACTGAGTAACGTGGCCCCCTCTGTATCCAACCCGACAGTATCAGCGTTGACAAGAGGATTCTCCACTCCATCGTCACAGTGTAAACACAGTGGGGGGGGGGGTTGCAAAGGGGGAGCTGAAACCGCAAGGGTAATCAGCCTCCCACTGGAGCGGTGCGGAGAAAGCCGCATCACCTTTAACCCCTAAAGGTCGGGCCGTTCACACAAGAGCGTTCCCTCGGAATGCAATTCGGGAACAGCTTGTGGGCCACGACCGGTGGGTCACACAGGAGGTCAGCCTCAGGGAAGATTCAAAAACGGTGGCTCCATGGGCTGGGGTCAAAGGTCAATAATTGCCAAAGTTGAGATGGGGGGCAAAAGAAAGGAATGGGGAGAGAGTGGATGAAGCAAGCCAAAAATCATTAAAGGTGCCAAAAAAATCTATAAATGAGTGAACTGAAAGAAAAAAAAATCTACGTGGTCATAAGGCATGAAGGTTGTGTCATGTTCTCTAAAGAGTTTTGGAAAAAGTTGAATGTTAACATTTCGTTACCTTCCTGGAATTGGGCCTAGGAGCACAGTAGCTAAGGCCGCCCCCCTGGCAGCAGCAGGATACAACCCCCCCTTCCTTTACAAAGACACTCACGTTGTCGTGCTTGAAGAAGCAGAGCATCTTCAGCTCACGGAAGACCCTCTTGCAGGAGACAAGGTTCTGGAAGACGTTGGGCATCTTTTTGAGGGCGACGCGCTTCCCATCTCTGGGGTCTGTCACTGACCTGGGGGGTGGGGGGGGGTGTAGGAAGTGAATGGAAGCGACCATATGGTTCAGGGATGAAGGCATGCAGCAAACCTTGAAATCACACCACTGGTGCCAACAAGCTAAAAATATATTGTGCCAGCCTGACTTACATTGATCAGACACAACATTACTTTTTGGGTCTACAGTTCCGTCAAATCTAATAAATTGCAAGCGAGCTTCACAGTAACTGCCCTTTCCATGCTATCTGAGCAGAACAGCTCTTAGCAGGATGTTATATCTGTACTAATGTACAAACCCACCTGACCCCACAAACAAAGTGCAATCTATTGGTGGTGTTCAGTGACCGATTCTACCCACATGACTCAGGTGTTCCTCAAGGCCCAGTTCAGGGGATAGTGAAGTTGTATGTATACTCGACAAGACAAGATGTAGAACACATTTCACTGCACTTGAGACCCTGACGCAGTGCATTAAATATGAACCAAAAGGAGAAGGACACTGCAGGGTGGGATCTGGGCCGAGGCGAGCCAAGTCAGGCTTTCAGGAGGGCAGGGAGACTGCAGTAGACAATTAAAACCCAAGTCTGGCCACCAGCTACAGAACAGGGCGTGCGAAAGGAACACTCTGGGTCAGTGCCGAGCCGGGGAGAGAAACAGAACAAAGGATGAGTTGGGCACATCAGGGTGTTGTGGATCTGGGGCGGAACAATGAATGATTAAGGCTGCCTCGAGGAGAGGCTGAGCCATGTGATTCACAAGCTGGACTAAACATCGTGACACCAAGGAAAATGAGAAAATCACAGGAAGAGGAGGATGGAATGGGTGGACAAGAAGGGAAGACCTTTCACGAGACATGCTATGGTCACACGCGGTCACTACTCCTCCCACAGGGAGAAAAGCCCACCAAAAACTCAGCACCAGACTGGTCAAATGGCATGAGAGCAACACATGGTGGTAGCCCTACTGGAATAAGAAAAGCAAGCCACCAAAAAGACTGGTGATGATTGGTTGAGAGAGAACTGTTGTTGGCGATTTCCACTTCCAGCTGTTCTACTGTGCAAGTAGGAAACAGGGAGGCAGAAAAGGGGACCTTACTTGGTGATCTGAGCTTGCTCTGTAGCACAGCCCACCACCACAACCTTGGGATGCTCCTGTCACCTCAGGGCCGATAGGAGACAACAGAGGACATCTTATAAACAGGAGTGTGGCTAAAAGCCAGCCCGGTGCCTGCCTCCCACTAGTACCATCCAATCTCCTTACAGGGACCCTTGTAGAAAAGCTTCATGACTCATCAGGTTCTGGACACTTCTGCCATGGTGGCCACACCCACCTCGACTGCATGCAAGGGAAGAGGGCATCTTCCAAGAGTGCTCCCTGGTGCTCAATTTTAAAACGTCTATCCTCTGAAGGATGTCCAGAACTGAGAACCAAGGCCATACCAAAGTTTTAAAAGGGGGCTGCAGACAAGGCGAAGGCCAGTGCAAGAATTAATCCTTCTTCTTTGTCATCACTTCTGTGTTTCCTCAGTGCTGTCTGACCATGGAAAATGCATTCAAGTGTGCATTAAGCTCACATTACCCTAGAAGGTGGCCACAGAAATCAACGTTCCCAGGGAAGATTATAGCCTGATTCATAAATGCACTGTAGCAATAGCTTTGCAGACGCCCACATCGAAAAAAAAATAAATACAAATAGAAAGAGCAAGAGAGAGCTCCCCCCCACCCCGATAAAGTGAGAGCCCTAACCATGCCAGACTAGCTAGGCTTTTTGGGATAAATCAGTAAGGAAACCATTTCATTAAACTAGCCTGACAACACAGAACAACCAACACAGAAAACATTTTCTTGAAACAGTCTTACAAGACTAGAAACAAACCAGAAATTAAACCAGTCGCACAAAACATCCATGAAAATCCGCCAGTGTTTTGTTCAGTGTTTTTTGTCACCACAGCTGGATCTTGGTATCCGTTCCTGACAACGTCAAGAAATCATGGCGAGAGTCAGTTTCGGCCAAAGAAAGATGCAGGATGGATAACCATTTCTGGCATACGCTTTAAAGAAGCTATTCGGAAAAGGAAGGGACTTGCATGTAATTTTGTATCTCTTGCAGAGTCTTTGCGGTACAGCATGGTCTCCGCCCTAATAGCCAAGCCGTGTTCCTAGAGAGCTTGACTGACAGCCTGGTCTTGCCAAGGACTGCCCCGGTGACTATGAACATTAATGCTGTCCCCACTGTTAATATTCCCGCATGGATCAAGACTCACCGGACCATCCTGAGCGGGGCAGCAGTGGCGCATCTGGGATGTCGATACTTTTATTTTTAGTGCAGAAGCCAGATTGAGACGGACCGGGCCAGAACGCCAGCAACAGGCCCCACTTCCACTGGCCGGATTAAATGGGGGTAGCGATATGCATCAAGGACTTGTTTAAGGAAAATGGAGGCTAGCTGCTCTTTGTTTATTATTAATAGGTATCTTTTTAGCCTGCAAGGCTAATGAGGGAAGCAGAGGCACAGCAATTTCACGCTACCGCGCACACTCTTCCCTTAACAAGGTCCGGCAGCCAATGCACTGGTGCCATGAACGGGCCGGGGCCCAATGAACAGGCTGACACGGGAGACGGCGCTCTTCAACTTGCCGATGCACTGACAGAAAAAGGGGGGGGGGGGCTCCTGGCATCTGCACATGTTTAATTTGCAAAACGGCTGGATGGGTCCACATGATCCTCTACGGCACAGACTGCAGACCCAGGTGATCTGCTTGCATTTGTGATTACGGAATAGGTTAAGCAGGTATCACGCGAACAGCTGGTAGCAGCCAATCCGAGATTACCTGTGACCCTCGTGCATGCCAAATTCCCTTATCCCTTTTCAAAATTTCCCCTTAAGACAGGGGTCTCAAACTCCAGTCCTGGAGGGCCGGAGCCCTGTGTAGCTTAGTTCTTTCCCTGTTCCACCACAAATGATTCAGCTCAAGAGCTGTGTGGTAATTAGCACAAGGAGTTGAATCAGGTGTGTTAAATGAGGGTGAACCAAAAACTGTGTAGGGCTCCGGCCCTCCAGGACTGGAGTTTGAGACCCCTGCCTTAAGGCAAGATCACTTGCAAGCACTGAGAACTGGCACTTCAAGCTGGACTGCTCAACGGCAGGAGCAGAGTCGATTAATGAGTTTGGGAGTAAGAGTTACTCAAGGTTAACATCTGGACTGACCAGAGGTACCAAAAGTTACTTCAACCCAGATACTTCTTGAGATTTTGAGTCTTCAACTGTGAGCAAGGGAGCCATGAGGGTAGGAGACCACTGATAGGGGGCAAGAAAGGTAGGAGAGACCGATGGCATTTCAGACCCCCAAGACACATGTTGTCCCACATCCATGGTAAAGCAGAGACGGCACCTTGAAAAGCAGACCTCCAGAGCCTCTGCTGACCTCCCATGCTCACATTTCCCTTCAGCCCAATCTATCACGCAAGCTGCTGAGAGGCTTAGGCCAGGCATGGATCATAGCGATCCACGTGTCATTTCATTTTGTCACATTCTGAACGTTTTGACCCTCTGGAGCAAACAGATGGCAAATCTCATCATCTAAAGCTCACACGACCCTCACTCAGCATATGTCCGGGTGGAGGAACCCCCCCAACCACCCCCAAACAACTCATTGGATGGAAAACAAAGCGTGCGGCTATGCGTTATCCCACAATGCACTGCAGGTTTGCCCACATCTACAGTTTTTAAATGCTATGTTGGCAGCAGCACTGCCAATGTAGGAGGGTTCTTGCTATAAGTGACTTATCAGGAAAGGAAAGCGATAGCATCAGGTTGCTTACATTTTAATCATTCGAAGGTCTCATCGACAAATCAGGCTATTGCAAGAATAAGTATGGGCAAAAATGAACCAAAAACACACAAACCCAGGACCTACAAAGATAACAGCACCAGTGCAACCGTTAGCACAGAGTAGGCAGCCAAACCGAGACTCAATCAAGTTCAGGGTACTGCCGTCTATCTTCCTGATCAACAGTCCACCCTCAACCGTACCCCCATCCCCTCCCAGCAGTCACGTGCCCGACGGCCCTGGGGCCTGAACGCACAGCTCTCTCTCTCGCTCACTGCATTTTTCAAATACTTGCACAGAGACATCAAAGAGCATAGCAGGAAATCCTCTGGACGCTTTGAAGGGGCCTCTCACCCAGGCAGCACAATCATCCCCAAAGGGCCCCCGTGCGGACGAGCTGAGTGCGGCGGCCCCACTAGGCCACTCCCCCTGACCCTGTTAATTCTGCAGGTCGCGCTCCGGTACCGTAACGGGCTTGAGAGTTGTTTCGCAGGACGACTGCTCGAGAGCGAGGAGCCACACAATCGCGGACCGTACGGCGGCCTCATCAGCAGTTATGATTCTGTTTAAAGCTGCAGCTCGGGCTCGTTAGACGAATCGGCGGGAATTAGCATATGTCTGCATAATGAATGGAGGACAGGTTTAATGCAAAGCTGAAGCCCCCATGCTGTCGTACAGCAGCCCGCAGTGACTGGCACCCGGACGACAGGTAACGATGGACGTCCCCGAACCGTGGTGACACAGACGGGTTGCAGAGTGTCCCTGCCGACCGGCGGAGGGACGCAAGTGCCGCGGGGGAGCTTAGCAATGTGTCCTGGTCGCTGCACTGGGCGGTTTTGAAGCGCTCAGCGGATTTGGGTCAACGGCCTACTTATTCACAAATTAAAAGTATAACAGACGCGGAAGCGGGATGATTCTAACGTGCCCAGGGCATGGGGGGGTTGAGGGGGAGAGAGAGGGGAAGAATAATTATATACATATATGTGCCAGTCACTGCAGCTTCAGTCATCGTACTCTGGTTCCATAATCCTCCCAAAAAACCCACATGAATGGATAAAAATGTATAAACCCGTGGATCAATTAAGCGATTAATGTGCAACGGCAGGCCAGAAGCACGAATCTAACGGGATGCCTAAACAGTGTTGTGTGCAGACCATGCGAGACAAGAGCTGGGAGCTTGCTTGGGGG